GGGGGGAAAGGCCAGCGGGGGACCCTTGACCCCCGCCACTCTTCCCAAACTATTCCACCATCCCTGTGCCTGCAGCGACAGCCCCACGAATGTCGCTTGAACCCACAGCCGCCAGCATACCTTTGAAGCTGGGGCGGGTGTCAGTGTGACACCCAGCCCAGAGCGGGTCCGGGTCTGCCTCCTCTCATCTCCCCTTGCCTCCTGGTGATTTCTCTGGTTTTTGTCTCTTGCAGATGGTGGGACGGAGACTCCTTGTTCTTTTTGGCAGCCAGACTGGGACGGCTCAAGACACAGCTGAGAGAATTGGCAGAGAAGCCAAGCGACGGCACTTCCAGTGCAGAGTGGAGGCCCTGGACAGCTATGACGTGGTGAGTGGTGGTGCGGAGGGGTGCTCCAGGCACTTCTGGACTTGTTCCATCTCCACCAGCCCCATTTCTCAGACTCAGGCACCCTGCACCCTTGCTGTGACCTACTGTATTTCACCAGACCCTGACTCTCTGTCCTTCCTGAGGGCAGCTTGTGCTTAACTCAGCTGAAAAGGTGTGAAAACTGAGCAGTGACTCTTGGGATGGAGTCTGTCTTAGATGACATATGCTCAGCCATACCCTGCAAGGCAAGGAGCACCGAGGAGCCGATCCCACAGGCAGCGTGTGGGCAGGTGCTGCTGCAGTGCCTGTAGCGGAGGTTGTGCCACGCGGGGCTGCGGGTGTTATTCCGAGTGTGGTCTGTCCGTGAACGGGACATGATGTTAGCAGCCATGTCGGGACAGCCGGGACACATGTTTGGAGGTTGCTGACCTGAATGTGCCTTTGTGTGTTTGTGCCCACAGGCCAACCTCATCAGTGAGCCGTTGGTGGTATTTGTGTGTGCAACCACTGGGCAGGGTGACCCACCTGACAACATGAAGGTAGGACACGCTCCTGTCCGTATTGCCTTTGTATTCCTGGTCCAGTGACTGGATTTCTCTCTTGAAGCAGCTTGGGCAAGGGTTATTTTTGGAGGGGGGAGCTTTGGAGCAGCACAAGTCACATCTCCTGCGTGATGGGGACACGGGCAAGGAGCTGGTGAGGTCTCAGCAGCTTAACAGCTGAGAGGGGCCCCACCATCGCAAGAGCCCCGGGTTTGTAAAGGGCTCGCAGAGCATCGTCCTCTTGGCAGGTAGCAGTGGTGGATGCTTTCAGGGGTCACCTCTGCAGAAGGCCGTGCTCCCCATGCTGTTGGGACTCGGCGGAGGGCAGGAGGAGCCTGGTGGGGGGTGAGCGGGGAGCTAGGGATGGGCAGGCAGGGAAGGCTTCCTTTGCAGCAGTGTGACTCCCTGTCTGTGTCCCTTGTAGATGTTCTGGCGGTTCCTGTTCCGGAAGAACCTGCCGTCTGGTTCGCTCTGCCAGCTGGACTACGCCGTGCTGGGCCTTGGTGACTCTTCCTATCCCAAGTAAGCAGCTCTGCGGCTCCTTGCCTGCCTGCGACAGCTTCTCCTCACAGCTCTGGCTGCAGGCGAGGCCAGAGTGGCTGGAGAACGAAAGGGAGACAGAGCCTGACTCTAGAGCAGCAGCTCAGGTGAAATGTCATTCCCACCAGCCTTAAAAATCCTTGCTCTACCAGCCCGTGTCCCTCCTAACCCCCAAGAACTGGGCTTCTGCCCGTTTCTTTCTTGCTGGCCTCTTCAAGCAAATGCTTTGCTGCAGTGTGTCAGACCTCGTAGTTCAGTCAGTTATTACAGCTGTTCAGTTCTGTCTGAATTGCAGGAAAGCCTGTGCCACAGCAATTTCAGTGGACCAAGTCAACAGAATACATGAAACATAGGGCTTTAGGTGGCAGCTGTCCCCGTTGGTCCCAGTTCTCTCCCGAAAATTGTTCCCGTGTGCCTGAAAGAGCTGTGTTGTGAGGGATGGGAGTGTGCCTGGGCTCCATGGGGCAGTGAGGGGCTAGAGGGAAGGAATTGTTTCTCTGCCTGGGATACAAGCTGCCCTGAAGGGAAGCTGGACCTCCCTGAGGCCCTGCTGGGAAGCTGGGCACAGCCTGTGCGG